GTGATGCGTATGCATGGAGCGCAGTTGTTATTTTGCTTTATCTTCAGCTGCCTGCATGCATCTATCCATATATATATATATATGAAAAACACATATTTACATACGAGTATAAATGTTTATGTTATAGTTTACAAATCTCAAGCACAAATTAATTAATTATTGCATATATATTTTGGGGGTGAGGGCCTGAAGCTCCATGCAGTTGATCAGTTCTTTGCTAAAATATACTATAATGTCTGCACAGAACAAATAACAGTGAAGTGATTGGGGGTGGGGGTGGACTACACTAATTAATTAAGATAGATACAAAATTAAATAATACATACATACAAAATTAAATTATGGGAGAACAATGGTGGGTTTTCGTTTCTTCGATCGATCAACAAGACCTGACCAATGATCAATCTAAATTAATTAGGATTTTGTTCATATTTAAATTTAAATTTAAATGTTGGAATTTTCTAAAATAAGATTAACCTATTATTCATCGCCAAATTGGATGATTGAATCCGCATGGTAAAGCTACCCTGGACAATGTAACGAACGTCTTCTCCTTCTGAAAGAATAAAAGTAAAAGCAACTGCATATGATATAAGTTAGTATATATATATATGTAAGAATGAATGGAGCAACCTATATAGCTTCAGTTCAAACTAACCGTTTTGCAACTATATATATCAACATCCGTACAGTACATGCTTATTGGTTGGCTACTGTTTCATAAATGGAAAGAAAACGGGCGCAGTTGTACAGTAGTATTAAATTAATTTGCACTAAAAATGCTTTATCTATATCTAATTAAATTTTTTGATTAAACGGACAATTTGAAATAAATTTCTACCTCTATTTTTATTTTTGAATTAAGTCACTATAGAAGTTTTAAAAACACTGCACTCCCTCTTTTTTAAAAAATTATTGGCATTAACTTCCTACCTTTATCACTTTTTCTATATTTTCCTTGTCTCTTTGTCAAAAAAACCATTTTATCATTTATTTTTTTCTTTTCTATTTTCGTTAGATTTTTTTTTCGCAAAGAATTGATTTTGTCTAGCGTCTGCTTTCAATCGCACGAAGAAATTTGTAATCGATGATGGATCTATAATGGATTTCAAATTTAAATTCCAATATCCAAGTTTATTTCGCGCGAGGGAGAAACGGGTAAGACGAAATTTTGATTTTGAATGTTCTTTTGATGAGATAATTTTGTTGATTAATTACGATGGTGTTGTTAGGGCTTGCGACTGATTCCAATAAATTTTTCACTATTTCTTTGGTAATTGTTGTTCTTTTGAGTTTTTATTATAATCTTTCGTTAGGACGGTGTGTATAGGAAAAAAAGTTGTGTGTGATGAGGAGCTATTGCGATTTTCTGCTAGTTTATGTGGGCATTTTTACAGGTATTTTTTTTTCAATGTAGTATACTTATGTTTATTAATATTATATCCATATTGTTTGATATTTTATGCTCAATTTATTTGAAAATACCCTGAAATTGTTGGTATATACTATGATTAGTCATCTATAAACCTTGATATTATTTTATGTGTTTATATATTGAATTTTCTTAAATTTGGTAGTTGTGCAGCGGTCTCTGCCAAAACTAATGAAAATTGGGAATGATTTTGCTAGAGGTTAAAGTTTGTTCTTTATGTTAACGATTGGATGTCTACGATGAATCCATTAACTCGGTGTCAACCCATGATATGGAAGTGATGCATAACGACATGCAGAAAAAGATAATTTCTCTCACATTATCTGTCCAACCAAGCTGGCCAAAGAAAATATGATTTGAATCATAATAGGTGAGACAAATTAAAAAAATATAATTGTTGTGGTCGTCTAGGACACAACCGATGAAGTTACAAGAAGATTTTAACATATGTATTTTTTACGTGTTTCTTGTGGTATAAATTATCTTGTTTTTGGAAAATTGTACATTGACCGTAGATTTGTGTACGAGATCACTATTGAATGATTGAAAATTTTGATAATATTCCCTTGTATATTACTAGGTGAATAAAACTATTATATCGGGGTACATTTCAATCCAATCTCATCATTTCAAAGTAAAAAACTAGAGTATGTGAATTCAAAAAGAAAATACGTTACAAGTTATTATAATTACATAAAATATGATCAGGAGTAAAAGTTATTAATAACGATAATACATTACATTGTAATTTTCTTAATAAATTTTATGTAATATTTGAGGTTCTTTATGTCCTTTAAATACTCGTTATGATATAACATGACTCAAAGTGTACCCCCATCATTTATCTGAAACTGTATTGAAATAAATCAAATTTATTTATGAGGGTATATAATATTTTTGAAGGAGTAGCTATAATGAAAATACGAGTATGCTGTGACGTTTAGGGAGTATATTTATTAGTATCATATGTATACATATCTGAGTAAGAGTGTGCGCTTTTGTGTATGAAAGTATTCGTATTCGTATACAAGTATAATTATTGTAAACATGGGTATTTTAACTATCTATCCAGAATTTTTCATTGATTGTTGTTGGATCAAACAATTACTACTTGACTACATCACACTCACTTTCTTGGAAGTTACCGTGCATTAGCGGATATTTCTAAAATGACTTATAAGATCATTTATTCATATATTTAAAGGTGGATGACAATGTCACTTAAGATAGATATGATATAACATATCATGTGGTAAACCATAATAATGGATAGTTTGAAGTTAATGTATAACTGATGATACATGATGTTTTTTGTATCGTTATTGTCCGTGCAAATATATATATATATTTTTTAATTAGAACGAAACTTCCAATAAGAAGAAATGTGTTAAAAGGTATAGTAAGTAAATATTACGTATGAGGAACATATTAGTTATTGATGTGTACAAGCAATGTATCAATTAGTGTTTTTTAGAAGCTTTATTGAGTACACATTTTTTCAATATACATCGTATATGTATAAAATTACTTATAAAGTCTATTCCTCAATACAAGTATTTTTAAATCAATTTAGAAGTATGTAACTTACTGAAATAGATGAACAAATATCATCATTGGGGGTATGTGACTTTCACTTAGGGGTCTCTCGACACCCAGTCATGATTGTGGCTAGCTTAGACAACTACATTGAATAGATCATTTCAATTTCGTCAAATATTGGTTTCTATCAACTAATACTACCGAAACGATCATTGAGATCATTTGTTTATGCATTCAAGAGTAGATAAGAATGTCACATAAGATAAATTTGACATAACATCATTATGGATCATGGTAAGAGATATCAATGAGTTAACGGATAACTGATGAGATATGTCTCGGTCCTTACACTCTTTATTGGCTTTGTCAATGTCAACATTTTATAGACTAGAAAAAATATTCTCAACGAACAAATGTGTTACAAGGTATGAGAAATAAATATTATACATACAACATATTAGGATTGTCCATGCTATAAGTATTAGTCATTGATGTGTACATTGAACATGTCTATCAGTGCTTTCAGAACAGTATGGTGAGTTCACATCTTTTCATTATATGTCGCATATGTATATAGTTACTTATAAAATCTATTCATTAATAAGAGTACATGAAATTGTGTTAGAAGTATGTAAGTTTAGTTAAATGTGGAACATATGTCATCATTAGGAGTATGTTGTTCAGATTTAGGGGTTTCTCCACACTCAATCATGAAATTTTGCACACCGAAGTATATTTCTTAATTCTGTATGTAATTACCTCTAATACCAAAGTCCATACTTATGGAGAATCGCATATGTCATTTGTTAAATTAGAAAGTAGAGTAAGTAGAGAATGTAGATTTACGTAAACTCAACGGAAATATATAATATACTCGTTACATAAACTTGTCTTTCTAGGGGCAAATATATATATATATAATATTATATTTTTTTTTTGTGTGAGTAAAACTTAAGATAAATTATTGGTACAAAGAAGAGAATTTATATATTAAACTCCTATTTAAGACAATTAATATAGAACGAAATTATTTTTAAAATATTAATAATAAATATAAATAAATTTTAATTGAGAGGATGGCTTATTTTAAAATATTATACATAAAATTACATATATTTTAAATTTATAAATTTTGAAATTAAAAAATATCTATTTTTCTAAAAAAAACAATACTTATGGATAAATAATAATGATTTAATTCTTAAAATTTCTAAAATGGTCATTTTTTTAATATCATTGTTGGGACAAAATATGATAATTGGTAGTATGATTCAACTTTATACTAATTAAGCAAAATTATATAAAATTTTTCATAAATTGGTTTTATTACCGAAAGTAATGAGATAAAATATAATTTTATAAATAATAATTAGTATAACTCATTTTTATAAAATTAATAATATATATAACTCACTTGTTGAAATTTAATTTTGCCTAAATTACGTCCTTAAAATATATATATAATTTCAAAATTTTATACATTCCAAATTCGATTCAAATTTCAAATTAATTTTTTCAGAAAAAGATAAAAAATAATATAACCAAAATTGAAAAAAATGAGAAAAAAATATTGAAAAATTCAATATTATGTTAATACCCAATTTGCACTCCCGAATAATGACTGTAAGTTCCTACGTCGTATAAAAAAAAAAATTAAAAAAAAAATAAAAAAAAAAGCAAAAAGTAAAGAAAATTCAATTCACTCCTACAATAAGACTTCTTCAGTTACCGAAAAAAAGAAGTATATAATAGATCAAAAAATAATAATATTAATTGAAGGGTTTTCATATTTTTATCATTTATATTATATATATATATATATATGCATGTAATGATATCTTTTTTTCATTTTAATCGGTCACATAACAGTTATAACAAAGTATCTATTTTCTTTTCTTAGTAACTGTTTACCTAAAGTTACAAATATTTTTACAAATACCTTTAAAATTTACAATATATTACACAAATGTCAACTACGTACGAAAAAAACAAATAGACACATAGAAAAAGTAGATTAAGAGAAAAAAGAAAAAAAAAAAATGATATTTTCTTGTAGACAGCCGAAACGTGTATTACATTACATACATCCAAAAATCCAGTTAGAATCCATTTACTCAATTGATCCAAACTGTCCTGTCCAAACAAGCATGAAAAACAATGGAAGAAAACTATTCCGACTTTTTTTTCTCTTTTCTCAGGCAAGCATAAACAAGCAGTTTAATCAAAGCAGAAATAGAACTAATGTACCTGTAGCACCCGACTATTCATCTTCTGCAATGAAATTAGGCACTTCTCCTTGGCACAAGTATTTGTCGCAAACCGAGGCTGATTCCCAGTCCTTCCTCAGCCGCAGAATATCCTCCGTGAATGTTGAACCAGAAGATCCGACGAAAACAGAAGACAGGGCACAAATAGTCTTGTCCAGCATAGCTTCCACCTTCATCACCAAAATAATGTTGTACTAGAATTAATCACAACCCTTTTTCATATATTCCCTAAGTTGTCGATCCCATTCCACAATAATTATTGTATTTGAGAGAGCAGAGTCAGCAACCTATCAAGACATACATATATATATATATGTATACCCGCAGTAAGTCCTCCTCCGAATCAGTATCAATGCCAATCACATTTTTAAAGAATTTGAATTTAATCTTGAAAAATCCAATCTTTACTCTCTTTTATTTTTAACATAATGCCATAATTAAGAATCAAAACTAGGGGTGAAACAAACAAAGCTCAACTCAACCTCGACTCAGCCAAGTCGATCTTGGCTTCTGAGTTTTAATTCAAGCCAAAAACACCGGTTTGTCAGCTCACACATGCTTCATTCTAGCAGAATTATAACTTTATTATACATATTCTTATTATTTATTCTAAAATACTTCATTACCTAATATTTCAGCTAGAAATCGAACTCCATTGAATATATACTAAAGATTGACTCGACTACTTTGAAGCCCTACTCATAACCCTTCGAATCTGACTTTTTCTAACTTTTGTCAAAATTTTAAGCCTACACCAAAAATTTTAATGTAATATCAGAAAGGAGTGTCGAATTCATGACCACTTTTTGACATATCAAAAGTTACCTAACTAACAGACTAAAAATACCGGCATTTGTACTAGAACAAGATAGATACATACATATATATATATACAGTTCATCTTCATTATGTTAAAAAATCACAGGAATCAGAACAAATAAAAAGCATGAACTACTAATCGATGAAAAAAAGAAAAATCACCAAGAAACTGTAAAGATTGTTTTTCTTGCCTGAGAATCTCCATCAAGTCCATGTCTGTACAGCAAAGCATCCCATTTCTCAGCCGAATTACGAGCCGGTCTCTGAACAAGCGGCACAGTCTTCCCATCCCAAACAATGAGCGACTGCAACAAACCAGTTTCACTTTCCGCAGCATCTGTAGAAAGATATATTACCGGAATACCAGCCGTCTCAACAGCTCGATTTATGCACTCTGCAGCTTGAGGAACAGGGTAGAAGCAACTTGGTTGCTTCGCATTACTGGAAAAGCCACCGAGCAAAATGTATCAGACACTTCCGATCAATAACAAATAAAAAAAATTGTCACAACACAAGAATAACTAAATACCAGAATTTCAAGAAGCCATGGCGCCTAAAGTGTAGAGCTAGATAATCCTTCCCTAGAAACGTCTGTATAAAGCGTTGCGCAGTAAGCAAAATCAACCGGCTTGGCTCGATCAAAGTCTTGCATTTGTGCGCAATTGGACCTCCCGGCTGCATCACCCACTTTGTTTCGACTTCAGCAAAGAACACATCTCCGATTGCTATTACATCGTCGTTGGAAGAGAATTTTTCGAGGATTTCCTTGACAGTTTTTTCGGTTGGCTTCTTGACATCCTCATTCCAGACAGCCTCGATCTTACCAATTGACAGCCCCAACCCTTTCAATTTGTCCACTCGCTGTTCATCCATAAAACACGGCTGTGGCAACGAGAAATAACACAAGAACTTATCAACACCTAAATGGTTCTTCTTACTTTCTGCAAACTCCTCAAATGTCGCCACGACTTTCTTCCCCGTACAATTATTAATGTGATCGATATCTATCACTTTGCGGAACTCAAAGTCGACCTTAGAACTAGGAATCACCAAAACTCGATTAAGCAAAGCTGCAAAGAACATATGCTTCTCCAAACAAATCAAATGGTTCGACATTTGGCCAGAAACACAAATTGCCAATAAGTACTTGTCTTGTTTAGGGTTCCATTCAATCGTCTTCCTCTCTGAAACTTTTTGATCTACCTTCCCGCATCTATTCCAGCTTGATAAAATCGAGTCAGTGTAATTCTCATTGGAATTCAGCCCACCATTTTCATGTGATGATAACAGAGCACCTTGAATTTGCTTATTCAATGAAATTTGGCCATAAACCCTAGATTTCAAATCTTCCATAAAAAAATTTGAATTATCAATCATGCTACTATTTACCACGCTCACATTCGATTTCGATGTAGTGTAATTCCACATCTTTAGAAGCTCAAGCTCCTGCTGCTTAAGCAAATGCAGAGCACGTAACTCCGACTCACGCATTCGATTACTATCATCGCCCCAAGCATTGCTAACCGATTGAGCACGAACGCGGAACAATTTCCCCAAATCTATTGTAATGTACAGCAATAAAATCAACAGAGGGAGGCAAATCGCGAGAAGATACCTCTTCCGGAATCGGCCTGAAATTCTGCTCCTGAAACCATTTTCGATATCCAAAGGGGGAATGTGACGGTTATTAGTAGACTTTCCATTGTCATTCGGTCTGGAATTCTGCGAGATCAAATTCTCCCGATCCTCTTCCTCGTCGGAAGATTCCCTCTCCATCATCTCAACTCTTTCCACCGAATCGAGAATCAAACCCACACCCGCTTAGATCTTTACATCACTCGCACTGGCAAAATCAAATCAAATCAAATAAAATCGAATCCAATTCGCACGCCCTTGGAGTTGGATCTCGAGTTGCATATATCAGTGGATCCAGAAACAATGAAAAATCTAATAAAATTGTTGTTATGAATGATTTTACTGCTCATTCAGTCCCCACCAGACTTGCCCATTCGGTTTCGAACCGACGGTTCGAACCGCCGGTTCGCCTGTTTTCGAACCGTCAGTCACGGTTCAAACCGAACCGCGGCCAAACCGAACCGAAACCGTCATTCTGACGGCTCGGTTTCGGTTTGTGATTTTTTCGAACCGTGAACCGGCGGTTTACCTTTTTTTCAAATAAAAAATAAAAAATCTCTCCTGCGCAGGCGCAGAGCCGCAGAGCGCAGAAGAAGAAGAGGAGGAGGAGGAGGAGGAGGGAGAAGGAAAGGAGGAGGAGAAGAAGAAGAGAAGAAAGAGGAGAGGAGGAAAGGAGGAGGAGGAGAAGAAGAAAGAGAAAACCTACCCGTGCGGCGGCGGCTGTAGTTGTGATGTGTAAATAATGATTAGGTTAAAATTTAAAATTATGTGTATTGTATAATAATAATAATAATAATAATAATGATATATTTAAAATTAATTCTTTTAATAAATTAGTAAATTTTTATAAAAATAAAAATAAAAATAATATTAATAATATAAATGATTATTAATATATTAAAAAATGATAATATCATAATATTAGTTTTTTTATTATATAATTATATTTAATTTAAATTACTGTATTTTATTATTCATTATAATTTACATCAATATTTTTATAAATTATTTTTAATTTAAAATTTAATTTAATTATTAACTAATTTATATTTTAATTGTTTTTATATTATAATAATCTAATTAGTTATCTATATATACAAGTTTACATAATAAATAAAATAATAAATATATATAAATAAAATTAAAATCGAATTTAATTATTTCAAATAAAATTTAAATATAAAAAAATAGAAAATATAAAAATATATATATAAAAAATGAATGTATATAAACCAGCGGTTCAAACCGTAATCGTCGGTTTATAAACCGTAATCGAAACTGTTATTCGGAAGATTCGATTTCGATTTGATATTTTGACAAACCGTAATCGACGATTTGTAATCGTAATCGACGGTTTGAACCGTTTGAACAAGTCTAATCCCCACCCGTTCTCCATATGTAAAGAGGATTGACGAAACCCACCCACCCACCCTGACCATTGGGGTGCTTTGGCTAACGATCGTATAGTATACAACATAGAGACGGCGGGCTGTGTCCCTGTGGTGCCGACACCCACCCACAAACTTGCGAACAATTTCTTACGGTGAGAGTACTTTGGCCATGGATGCCTTCGGCTCGGGTTGGCAATTTTACCGTCCAAGGATCGACCCAAGTGTAGGGATTTTATATTGTATATATTAGACAACGATTTCTTTTTATTTATTCTGAAATTATGAATGATTTTTTTTGAAAAAAATATACTCGTCCGTCTCATTACAATTATCCTTTTTACCATTTTTGTCCGTCTTAAAAGAATAGTTTCATTTCCATAAATAATCATATCAATATAAAACTATCTATTACTTTATTATTATTATTATTATTACATCATTGTCATTACTTTTTACACTAATACACTCACAAAAGACAACAAAGTTTTTGCATGTACTTTTTTACAACCTAAACTATAGTTTTGAAACGAAAGAAGTATAATTTTTTACCGAAATTGTCTTGGAATTTATGAAATTGTTGAATGAGACTCAAACAATTCAGAATTTCATCTCAAAAATTAATTAATGATAATAAGAATTGTATTTTAGCTTTATAAATGAGAATTTCCACCATTTTTTCAATGTGAGACACAACACTTAACAACTCGTATCTTCTAAACATATTGATAGTGGCTATTTAAATATTATCTCGAAATATAATAAATATTCGAATCTACTTTTTGAAACTTCAAATATATATATACTAACATCAAAAGTGTAACAATTATAATAAGGATTGCTCTAAATGATCTATAGAAGGTTAAATCGAAGATGAAGAAAAGAAAGGAAAAATATGATTTTCATATATTCTGGAAATGAACATAACAGAGTATATATAAATATAAAAACACGCTTTTAACAAATATCTTAGCCAATTCCCTTTTGTACTGCTATTGCTTCACCATCCTGTACCGTTGCTGCTTTAACATCCCCCCACAAGCTAAGCCGAAAGAGCCAGAGAGGTTGAGCTTGGAACAATGACGATGGAACAGAGAAGATGACAGATTCTTGGTGAATATATCAGCAACTTGAGAGTCAGAGCTAATGAAGAGAGGATCCAAAAGATTCTTTTGATAGAATTCTCTAACAAAGTGACAAGTAATGCCAATATGCTTTGTCCGATCGTGATGAACTGGATTTTTGAAAATTTTGATAGCAGACTCATTATCACAATATAATGGGATAGGAGTAGGACAAGAGATGTTCAAAGCTTCCAGAACATAAGTAAGCCATGCAAGTTCAGAGGCAGCAGAGGCTAAGCTCCAGTATTCTACTTGCTTGAGTCCATATATGGACTTCCGTAATCGGCAAACCTGATTAGAAGAAGAAGACAAACCAAGAGGACAATCCATGTAGAGTTCCTCGTCAATATCATCATGCAAAAAAACATTATTGACATCCAATTGATGTAAATTCCACTTCAATGTTGTTGCAAGAGCAATAATTACTCTAACTGTAACATGCTTTGCAACATGAGCAAATGATTCATGGCAATCTTCTCCATACTTTTGTGTATAACCTTTCGCTACAAGTCGAGCCTTATATTTACTTACTGTGCCATCTGGATTGTACTTGATCCTGTAAATCCACCGACAACCAATAGGTTTTTTAAATCCAGAATTGTCAACCAAATCCCATGTGTGATTAGAGACAAGGGCATGAAGCTCTGCATCCATTGCTTACTTCCAAACAGTATACTTACATGCTTCACTGTAACTGCAGGGCAGGGAAGGCTGAACAACCTGCATTACATAATCTTGAAATTTCGTAGGTAATTTTCTTGTCCTTTGAGGTCTACATAACAATCCTTGGTCATTAGTTGATGGAGAAGAAACAGATTGACTGAATGACAAGGAACCATGCAGAGAATCAGTTGATGGTGGATCAGTAGCCATAGGTGAATATTCTGCTGGAACAGGAGAAGATACCGCCTCAGAAGAGTGAAGAGGTATTATCGGAAGAGGAAGCTCAGTGTTATTAGGAGATTTGAGAGTGGATGCCTTGTCTGAAGAAGTTCCCAAGAAGGGATAGATTGAAACATGAAATAACACATCCCGTGAGATACATAGCTTATGAGAAACCCAATCAAGAATCTTATACCTCTTTTGTGTGCTACTATAGCCTAAGAAGATCCCTTTAACTCCTCTAGGATCAAGTTTTCCTAACTGAGAACTGTAATCCTTCATGTAACACAAGCAACCAAAGACATGTAGATTGTTTAAGTCGGGATCCTTATTGTAGATCAATGAAGAAGGAGACTTCCACCCCAATTTTCTAGAAGGAGTTCTGTTAATAAGATAAACAGCTGTCAAGATGGCTTCATTCCAGTAAAATTTAGGAACTTTTGAATGATACAACAAACTTCGAGCAACTTCAATGAGATGTCTGTGCTTCCTCTTAACCCTGCTATTATGTCTGGGAGTATAAACACAAGTCTGTTGGTGAACAATTCCAAATCGATGAAAGAGTTCTTCACAATTATGATTGCAAAATTCTGTACCATTGTCAGTATTCACCACCTTAACCTTTCTAGAGATTCGAGTTTCAACATGAGTAAAGAACTTGGTGAGTATGGAAGAAGTTTCAGACTTGTATTTAATGAGATATACCCAAGTTCCCCTAGAAAAGTCATCAACAATAGTTAGCATATAGATAGCATTTGTAGTAAGACCCAAGAGATCCATATGCACCAGATCAAATAATGCACTAGCATGGGAGTCACTTTCAGTAAAAGGTAATCTATGGAATTTAGAACAAGCACAAGTATCACATGGGGCACCATTTTTACTGGTTGGCAAATGAATTCCAATATGTTTTATAACTGTCCAAGAAGGATGACTAAGCTTACAATGCCATAACACTGAATTTGTATCATCTGCAAATAACAATGACAAGGCCACATTATTATGTAAAATTGTATCATTGAGATATAAAGTGGAATGCAGAAGAGCCTTAAGCAGAGCTTGTCTAGTCTTCAAATCCTGCAGTAGACAATTCTTGGAGTCAAATATCGCTTTACATTTAAGATCCATAATAAACTTGCTGATCGAGACAAGATTAAAAACCAGATCAGGTATATAAAACAACCCTATAAGCCTCACATATAAGTTCAACTGAACATTTCCAGTAAGTTTAGGCATTTTAGATGAACCATCAGATAGAAGTACAACACTAGGTAGAAGGTTAAATCGAGGATGAAGAGAAGAAGGGAAAAATATGATTTTCATATATTCTGGAAATGAACATAACATAGTATATATACAAGGAGAAAGCGCAAGCGCACAACATAAAACAACTTTATAAATATAAAAACACGCTTTTAACAAATATATTAGCCAATTCCCTTTTGTACTGCTGCTGCTTCACCATCCTGTACCGTTGCTGCTTCAACATGATCAAATCGTGATTTTTTTTTCCTCATGCGGCTAGTCATAGTAATAAGAGTCGGCTACTGTCAACCAAATCGTAATAATCTAACTGTAAATAACAATAATTATAATCATAGTAATTATTGACTGTAGGACCAGTATAATTACTATAATTTTGTTGTGCATAGTTATAATCAAACCTTGAAATCAAATTGTCATATGAATGATGTTGTCGATTAGTTGCAGAAGTAACCGAATCATTGTAGTATGGCTCAGAATAGTCATATATGAATCTTGTCTTTAGGAAATCATTATAATGCAGATGGTAGAATATATTCAAACAAGTGTTCGAACATAGAAAATAAAAACGAAGGTAATTCTTGAATGAAAAAATAAAAAATAAAAAAATTACACTACGGCATGACCTAAACAGATTTTTCTAGATTGCTTATTGGTCATTCGTTGCTTTTTTTTTATACGGTAATACAAATATTTATGGACAAGCAAAAAAATTATTAATGAAGATAATTGAGATTGTCTGATTACCAAACCATAAAAATATCTAGACCCAACAATCATACAGACAAATTAATAATAATAATAATAATAATAATCATCATCTAATTTATATCTATGTTAATTGTAATGAGACTTGACCGATGATTTACACAATCTAGAGAATATTTACCTAGGCAATTTAAGACTTTCTTTTTTATATATATATATATATATATATTGTTTTTAGTGTAGTGGTGCGTTAAATTTTTGTACTAATATTAGTATATTATACTTTTATTATTAGTATCATCCACACAACTAATTTTAAATATTTCTAATTAAGGGTGTAATATGATAAAAGATAAGTATTTTTTATAATATAAATTAATATTAAATATAATATTTGAAGTTAATATTGTTACAAAAGTACTCTTTTTTATTTTGGCATATATTACTACTTTTTCAAGGTATTGGAACTCAATGACTATCCACCAAAAATAGAATGCTGCGTATTGCTGTTGAAGACCTTCTGTATAGTCAGTTTGAGCACATTTTGCACAAATTTTGTTTGGACATGGGTTGTCAAACATTAGATAATGTTCATAATAAAACAAAATAAGACAGTGTGTTTGTTTGTATAAGTTTGAGAACAAGAGTAAAAAGTTTGTTTGAATCTAGCGAGAGAAAGAGTATTTTCTCTCCATATTTTCATTTTTACTGCTCTTTGATTTGAAGAAGAATCTGAGTTCTCATGGCGTTTTGAAGCTCAGTTAGACTGGTAGTCTGTTATGATTAATTTTGTGGTTTAATCCTTTTCTTGTACATTGCGATATAAAGAAGATTGTAGGAAATGATAACTTTGGATTTTTGTTTGTTGAGTCATTGAGTCGTTGTATACCTGTTGATAGGTTTGGTAGACATCTGATGGATTAGAATCCCCAAATATAAGTAGTTAACAAATCTTGTGTGCTGTTTATTTTTATGTTTAATTTTGATCGGCCATAGACAAGTATCTGTGATACACAAGTTATAACTACAAAATAATATCACGTTTCCGAAGTGCAAACCATTTGTGGTTTCCTATTTCCGCTGCCTTAGACTTAGAGGAGTGTTAGCCTCTTTATGTGTACATGTTCCAGCCCACGCTGTTTTATCCAACAAATATATATGGAAAAAAAAAATCAATTTTGGTCTCAATATAACAACTTCATCAATTTTAGTCCAATTATAAACAATTTCAATCAATTTTGATCCCACCGTTAAAAAATTAACGAAAATTGCTGACGTGGACATAACGGAGGTGACGTGGCAGCTGACTTGGAAACTACACGGCCATGTACAAATTATACACGGTCTTGTATATTTCAGTGTATAATTATATATGGTCATGTTGTTACACGACCATGTACAATTATACACGGTCATGTTGTTACATGACCATGTATATTTCAGTGTATAATTATATATGGTACACGGCCGTGTACCTTTCTATTTTGGTTTAAAATTTTATTTTTTGTTATATTTTTTGTTATATTTTTTTTTTTTAAATTTAGAATAGTTGATATAGTTAAAATAGAAAAAAAATCAATAATAATAATAATATAATTAAAATGTATCAATTTTAGTTCAAATATAAATACTTATTGAGTATGTTATTTTGGAAGATTTTGTCTAAAATTCTACTATTTACTAAAAAAAAATTCCTATTACAAACATCCAATTACTGTATTGAAATAATAAATTAATTTTTAATACTACTATTATATACAAAATTAAAAAATAGTTGTGTTATTTGATATTTCTAAGAGATTTTTTTTTTTTTTTTATGAATAATAGAATTTTAGATAAAATATTTCAAAAAGAATATATCTTATAAATTTTTATATTTGAATTAAAATTGATAAATTTTAATTATATTATAATTGCTATTGATTTTGTCAATGTTAACTATATCAACTATTTTAAATTCAAAATAATTTTTTTAAAAAAAAAATATATAAAAATAAAATAAAATTTTAGAGTAAAACATAAATGTACATGGCCGTGTAAAATTATACATGGCCGTGTAACAACATGACCGTGTAGAATTGTACATGGCCGTGTAGTTTCCAGGTCAGCTGCCACGTTACATCCGTTTTGTCCACGTCAGCAATTTTCGTTAATTTTTTAACGGTAAGACAAAAATTGATTGAAATTGTTTATAATGGGACATAATTGATTGAAATTGTTTATAATTGGACTAAAATTGATAAGATTTTTATATTAGGATCAAAATTGATGAATTTTTGTTATATTAGGATCAAAATTGATTTTTTTCCCATATATATCGATGTATTATTTAAATTAAAAATTAATTAAATATGATTTTTTTAAAACAAAAAAATTATTGCTGAATAGTTCAAAAATAAAATTAAAAATATGTGAATAAACAAAATCCAAACTACTAATGTAAATAAATATTGAAATATGATGTTTTTGCATAAAAATTTATATTTTTATATAATATTTCAATGAAAAATAAGTATTTGTTTGATAATTTTTTTTTAAAATAAAAAAATCACTTTTAATAAATAATATCAAAACTAAAAAATATACTATCTCGATCCGGCTCTAACGGTCTAATTTATTTTTTGTGTGTTGATCTTTGAATATTAATAATTATATGAAAACATAGTAAGAAAATGACAAAAATACTTCTATTAGTGTCTTGTAATACTACTATTATAATGATATTTTTGCAAAAAATTATACAAATATAAAGATATTTTTAATGTTAAGTACAATAACACAAAATGTAAATAAGATATTTAGAGTTGGACGGACGGAGTATCTTGTATAGGTAAACAGAACCTATTCTCCCAAACAATTCAAACACAAAAAAACAATTATCATATATACATGCAAGAGTTGTGCAAGAAAACAAATTGATCGATACGTCGTTCAAAATGGATGAACAACGGACACAAGACGCGTATAGTGTGCTTTGTCTTAACCAACTTCCCCACAAGATATCCTCTCGATTCCATGCTTAGTTCCAACGTTAAAGGAATACCATTGTGACCGTTGTACGATGGTTCCATCAACGCTCCTGTCCCGTATAACGGAACACTGTGCCCCACCAACGCTACCCGCATCGCCCGCCAGCTTTTCTTCGGGTGGTAATATCTCTTTACCTGAAATATATCCAATGATTTTTATCTTTTTCGAAAAAGATAAAAATATGTTGCGATATAATAAATTCGAGTGTTTAACTACTTTTCATCATCAAATTTATGTTTTGTTTCTTTAATGGTTGATTTTGCACTATTATTCAAATATTTCCTAGAAAATATATGTAGTATTTTTATTTAATACTATATCGAATGAAATATTTTTTAAAACAAAATTATTTTGAAAATATCATATATAATAGTACTATATTAAAGTGAATAATACTATTTATTATGTACAGTTTTAATAAAAATATTAATTTTTTTTTCACAACATATCGTATCAAAATATTAAATAAATATGAGTTCATATCAATTTCAAACCATTCAATAAAAGCTACATGAGGGTTTAGGAAAAAATAAATAACTTAAAAATAAAAACTTACAAGACAAAAAATATATATATATATACACAATGGAATAAAAATATATTATAAAAACTAAATGTCCCATTTACATTAAAAAAAAATACACTATTTATGTATGATACTATTTTTTTTTAAAAAAACACTTATATGGAAAACTTATTTAACCTCACATCATATAATATCAAATGCCCCACTTTTTTTTTGTTATTAAACTTCAAGTTATGTTCTTTTATTGCTTTAGGAACAGTCTGGTTTATTATTACACATTGAGAATTGAAAATTATTTTGAAAAAAATTGTAAAGTATTTTCGGTGATATAATTTTTATTATTTTTTTAAATATTTTTAATAATATGTATTCTCTCCGTCATCCAATTATATGCTCATTTGATCGTTCAAATTTTTTTTAAAAATATATAAAAATAGAAGTTTTGCTTTTTAAAGTAAAGAAAAAGTAGAAAAATTGTATTTTTTACTTAAAAAAAGAAATAAGAATAAATTAAGATGACAAAAAAAAATTATTAGAATAAATTTAGATGACAGATAAAGTAATACTCCCTCCGTCATTCAAATATATGTCCACTTTCCTTTTTAGGTTGTTATCGAAAAATATTTTCATTTCCTTTTTAAATAAAAAATCATTTCATTTTTGTACTATTTTTTACTATAAAAAATTAACAATTATTACTCACTTTTATTAAAACTCGTGTCCGGTCAAATAAGCACATATTTGCACGACGGAGGAATTATATATTATTAAAAAATGTGAGTAATTTTTTTTTTTTTGGGAACGTTGGGGAACAAAAAAGGAAAAACTATATTTAGAATGAAGCCTAATAATCAAACATACAATGTAGGAATTCTTCGTATATATGTATGTACATATATGTTACCTGGGCCGTCGCAATTCTAAGCTGAGACAAGAGGAGATTTGCTGCGGGGAAGCTGAGTTGAACGCCAAAAAAAGTGGCCGAATTATAAATGACGATGTGAGCCGAACAATTAATTGTAATCAACTTGGTCGGGACACCGGTCCGGTCCAACCCTTCCCCGACATACAAATTGTGAACTTTTAACCACTGAAAATCAAAGTGAGATTGTAGTTAAATGGTTAGAGTGGCAAAAATAAGAACGGTCCGAAAACCCAGTCTGAACACGGCACAAAAAAATCGTATTTGGACTTAACAAAAATAAACCCGAAGAATTTCGGGCCGTGTTTAGCCTGGCACGATAATGAACTGGGCTGTGTTTGGGCTTATGAAGGTCGGGTTGTGCCTGACGCGGGCCGGTTTTTAATATTTAATTTTTAATAAATTTATATATATATATATATTGATTTTTGAACAAAGACAAAAATTGCAACATGACTTGATGATGATAAAAAAAAATATTTTTTTATATATTTTTTCTTATGTTTGATTGTGGATTCAATTGGCTATTTCTACCATTAAAATATATTTTGTTAAAAATTAATTTAAAGCTAAAAGAAATAACAAAATAATTTAATTTTTTTTTTAAAAAAAAAAAAAACGGGCGGGAACAAACCGGATCGTGCTCGGGCCGACCCTTTCAGGCCCGATTGCAATTCAGGTTGTGCTGGCCCAGCACGGTTTGAAATTGATTCGGGCCGGGCCGGCACGAAAAAAATCGGATCGATCCGAATTGCCACCCCTGTTAACAGACCGTTGAAGTTGAATCATGATTAAGTGCATATAGGTGTAATTTGTAAAATAATACTCCTCCGTCCGCCTTTAAGGATTACATTTACCTTTTACGTTATTGTATTTAATATTAAAAATATCCTTATATTTGTATAATTTTTTGTACAAATATCGTTCTATGAGTATTATAAGACACTAATTAAAGTATTTTTGTAATTTTTTTTAATTTGTACTATGTTTTGATATAATAATTAATGTTAAAAAATCAATACGTAAAAAATAAATGAGACCCTTGTAGCCGGACGAAGATAGTAATAATAATACATTTAAAAAAACAAACACTTAAAATCAATCAATGTTGCACAATTGCTAATCATTAAAAAAAAATGTACTCCTAAAAAATGAGGTTAACAGAATGGACATAAAATTTGCACAAAATACCTTTTAACTTTTTTTTTCTTTTTTTTTTTAAATATAATTTTTCATGAAGTTGTTTAAACTTTTCTACATCTATTTATGATTATATTTATTTAGTGTTTATAGTGTGTTTTTGTTGCAAAATATGAGGAATCCTAGAAAAAAATTATAAGAAATGATGTTTACTTAAATTGATTAGTTAGTTTTATAAATTCATATTTATTTTTAAGATAAATATTGTAGTAAATTTTTATTTTTTTTTTATCTAAAATATCATATTAAACAATAATTTTTACTTCAAAAATCTTATTGCAAAAAAATAAAAAGGAAAGCACACCCATTTTTTTTTTTTTGGTAAAATTATTAGATATAGAGATACATGATTGTTGTGTAGATGTGTATAAAAGTAAAAGTAAACATGCATTTTTTCCAAAACCAAATTGTCAAGATGTAAAATTTAATCTATTCTAAATATTTTGTAATATTTTGTAATAAATAGTTGTGTAATTGAATCCTTTATTAGTCACACGACATCGACCTTAATCCATCCGAAAAAAAATGTGTTTGGTTGGATGTTTGAATTTTGGGTTCGAATTTTGAAAAATAAAAAATTTAAATTTGAATAATTGTATAATATAATATAAATAGATATCGACATTATGTATTTAATATAAAATTAATTTTTAATATAATATAAAAAAGTGTTTAATTTAAATTCTTTTATAAAAAAAATTAATAAATAGTAAAATTATGTTAAAATCCTCGGAACAAAATGATACCTCAACGTCAACTCGAATATTGTACGATCTTCCGACAGCCCAAACAATGAGATACGCCGCGAAAAAAACCACTCCAAGAAATAGTACAAGAAGCACGGCCCGATGACACAATCTCTCATCGTACCACTCCTCGTCGTCATCATTATCATTATCGGGAGCCCCGACTCGTTCCTCGTCCACCACATTGCAATAATGCTTGTTCCACCTCCGGCGATTCCCCGAGACACGGCTAGAGGACGAGGAGGCCCCCGAGGGGTAGAAAGGCGAGTCGGAAGGGCTACTACGGCTATTGGTGGAAGAACACTTTTCGGTCTCATCGTTGGAGTTGGATTTCGAGTGGAGCGACGGGCTCTCGACGTAGTAGGGTTTTGGAGACGATGCGGAAGGGGCGTCGCTCGTGATGTCCGACTCCGATGTTGCCGCGTGCATCGTCGATCAGAATGTTTGATTGGCTGTTCTGTGAAAAAATTAGAATGAAATTTTTGTTCGGAAAAGAAATAGTAGTTGTTAGCTGAATGAATGCATTGATTTAAGGAATGCAAAATAAGTGAGTTTGAATTAGGCAACTTATGGATTCACCACAATTTTAGGACCAAAATATTAGTAACGATTTTGATTATGACCAAGAAAATTTAGGACAAATATTTTATTAAAATTTTTAGTGTAAAGGTATTTTTAAGAAAATAATTGACATGAAAAAAATAAAATAAAATTGAAAATATAGTATAAACATGCACTCCAATTTATAATCTACCAAAATGATCTAATAGATATGTATAATTTAAATATCTTAAAATTAATGTATTGGATACTTTTAAAAGAATTTGTCCTTTAGATAATATTGTTATATATATTTATAAAATATACATGTATACATCACCCTAAAATACAAATCAATACCGCTTATAAAAATATCTCCATAAAACATATTTTCTTGTCCACTAAAACTATATATATATATATATATATAAATTTTGTCCATAAAAAAATTCACTTTTGAATTTTAACAAATTTTTCTTTCATATGCTAAATTTATATTCAGTTTTCTTTTTTTTTTTTCCGTAAATTGCAAATAATAATAATAATAATAATAATAGAGAGAATAATTTTTACTAACTCCTTAATTTATACTTTTCAATATTAAATTAATAAGTCACTACTACTTAGATATTGAATTTATCAAAAAAAATTTCTCACCTCATTAACTCATTCATATGTTCTTTAAAATACTAGTATTATTTTATATCACAGTCAACTCATATAAAGTACTCCTTCTATCTCAATACAACAGTGTTGTTTACTATTTTTGTCCGTACTAAAACAATAGTTTTATTTACATAAATAACTATATCATTATATAACTACCCTTACTCTTTCATTATTATTACACAATTGCCACTATCTTTTATAATAATACATTCATAAGGACAAAAATGTCTTTTACCTATATTTTTTACCCATTATCAATATAATATCAATATTCCTTAAATCTCGTGCCCAACACAACCACAGTTTCGAGATTGAGGGAATATTAAATAACCTTTTCAATATATATCCCTATAATTTATACTCTTGGATAAATTTACATACACAAACAAAATATGATTATAAATTGATATATAAAATATTTAAAATTTAATTTTCATTTAAGACACTATTTCAAGTTCTAGGCTTTTTTTTTTTCTTTTTTTTTTTTCTTATGTATTCAAATTTGTTTGCCCAAAATTGATAATATTATATCAAAAATACATTACCTATTGAAAATATTCAATATTTTACACCTAGTTTTAATTAAATATTTAAACCTATACACGTAAAAGTATTATCTCCTTGGCATTAAAAATAAATTTACAACTTATAATATATTACATAAATATCATTATTGTTGTATTATACAATACAATAAGGTTATATTTGTCATTTTCTTAATTTGTATTATATATCAATATTATACTTAATATTAAAAAATCTACTAATAAAAAACGATCGAATACTTATCTAAGGATAAAAGGAGTATAAAAAATCATATTCAACACGCGGCGGGAATCTACAACCCAAACTAAACTTACAAACAAATCCTATCATATCCTATATCCTATATCCTATATATATTTATAGTACAAGGGTGTTTGAAATTTCTGCAATCTCAGATTTTTGATATATATTTTTTTTATTTTAATTTTTTTTTTTACGGTTTTTATGTCTATGTTAGCTACAGTTTTGTTATTATTATTTTTTTTTGGAGGTATGTAATTTACTCTTTTATTATATAGTTTTAAATTTGTATTTCTTTCTATAGTTTTTACAATATTGTTATTAGTGGAAGTTTTTTTTTTTCTCCCATTATTTATTATTAATCCATAATAATTAAAGAATATTGGACATTTATAACGATATAGTTCTCACGTACATAAAATAAAAAGTTAAGCACAAAAAATACAAAAAAAATGACAATTTACAGAAGAAATAAAATAATAAAATATACATATATTAGATTATTAATTTATATATATTTTTTAAGTAAAGATATCTATATATAAATATTTATTAAAATTAGATAAAAATAGTACTCCCTCCGTCCCAAAAGAATTGTCTTGTTTTTCCATTTTTGTCCGTTCTTTATTTATTAATCGTGGTCGCCACTTTATAACAAGATTATTCATATTTTTTCAAATTACCCCTACTTATTACTCCAACCTACTTTTTAAAATCGTTGAAAATGACATTTTAGTCTTTTATATTATATTTTATACCCACTTTCAATTAAATACTATTATTCCTTAATTCCCGTGTCAACTCCCAACAAGAAGCTTTGGGAGGGACGGAGGGAGTATAATAATTAAACTTAAATATGATAATTTCGTGAGTAGCACGGATTTGCGCGCTAATACACATATAAATATAGATATAGAGATATATATATGTATGTATAAATAAAATATAGTGATAATGCAGCTGTGGCCTCTATTTTATCCTCAGAATATATATATATATATATATAATTCATCACGTTGTACTGATCAATCAATCCTTAGCTTAATTGTCCGAACACAACAAAAGCTGAGGTGAGGTGCCCTTCACTAACACTTCTATATATCAAACTCATTTTTATTATTTTTATTATTATTATTATTATTATTTTATTTTTAAATATATTTTTTTAAGAAAAAAACAACAAAGAACACATCATAAAAGCAACACCACGTCTGCTTAAAGCTCAAAAAAAGTTTGCTTAAAAAAAGTTGAGCTGTATAGGGTTTGTGTCGATTCTAAATAATTTTCGATATAAACAGATATTAACTAAGAATATAATGTTGGAAGGGAAAGCTAAGGTGATGGAAAGCGACATGCCGGAGAAGATTCGGATTCATGCCATGGCCTCCGCCTCTCAAGCCCTCGACATCTTCGACGTCTCCGACTACACTTCCATCGCAGCCTACATAAAAAAGGTTCGATTTTAATTCAATCCGAGTTTTTATCTATATATGTATTTGATCTACAAAGTTATTAGGATTTTCTTTTTAAGAAAAAAAATCTTTACAAGCAATTTCTACGATTCTTTAAAAAAAATATATACTACCTCCGTCCAGCTCTAAGGTCTCATTTACTTTATGTGTGTTGATCTTTAAATATTAAGAAAAAATTGCAAAAATACTTCATTTAGTGTTTTATAATACTAATAGAAAGACATTTGTACAAAAAATTATACAAATATGAGAATATTTTTAATGTTAAGTACAATGATGCAAAAGGTAAATGTAACCTTTAGAAACGGACGGATGAAGTACTATTTTCTCACAGAAAAAATCAGATTAGGCAAAACATAATCTACTCTTGTTTATACCATGGAATTGCAATTTTGATTTTTTTTTTTGTTTTTTCTTTTATCCTTCTTTATGTACTTTATATAAATAATTCAAATAAAAAATATAGGTAAAAATTGGTCCAAAAAAATATATGTATATCAAAATGATATTATTTAAAATTTATTTTAAAAGTCAAAACTAGCCAAACTTTTTTAGGTTGAATGTATAATTTTGTACGAGCATATGTTCTTATTTGTAAGTTACTAATTTTTGCTTCTTTCGATTTGATCGCTCGCGTTGATGATCTCCAAATTATATATATATATAGATAACTTACATGATTAAATTACGGTCTTCTAATATTAATAATAATAGTAGGATTAATATTTTCAATTTTGAATTTTGATGTCCGAATTTGATCAATTAATCAATTAACCTTCACAAACCACTTCTATTTTATGCGTCGAAAATCTTTAATTTCCATTCTATATGTATATAGAGATAGTCAATGATCATTACTTCTATTTTATTTTTTATTTTTAATTCATTGACTCAATTATATATGTATACATATAAAAAAGCATCGTATAAAAAGGGATTGTATCTTTGTAACTCTAGTAAAGATAACGACCTTGAAAAAATATAAAATTAAACATTGATATAAAGACAATGATAAGAAAAACAGATGTCCCACCGGTCATTGTTAAACAAGCGAACGTCAAAATCATCGAAAACTATTTTAATAAATATCATCAATTTTTCTTCACATTCTTAAATAGAAATATGAATTTTCATATCTATTGTATATATTTTAAATCTATTATAAACTTATAAATTGGAAATATATAAAGTGTTAAATGTACTATATGATACATTAACATAACTATAAAATAAATAATGTTATGCTAAATTATATTTTTTGTTGAACTTGTCCTTTTTTTTTTTAATTTTTTTTTCTTCCCTTTGTGTGTTTCTTCATAATTTTGAAGTGAAATTAATTATTTAATATAATATTTTAACTAAAAAGATAATGTTAGATATAATAAATCTTTTAGAAAAATTGTACATTAGGATAGTAAAAGATAGAGAAAAAAAATCCATAGAATTCAAATTCAAATACCTTGTATCCTAAACCATCTAAAAATAAAATTACATTTGTTCATTTTTTACAATACTACATTTTCTCATTTAAAATTTATTATTTCATGGAATTAAAAATGCAATATAAATCATTTATCGATTCTTTGACACATTATCTATCAATTTTTACTTTTATTTAAAACATTACATCATTAATTTTGTTTTCAACACAAAATATTACATTCAATACATATTTATATAACATAAAGAAAAAACTATTTTAATTCCAATTTTGTCTATGTTTAAATATTTCCAAAACATATTTAAGTATTTAAATCTATAATATCTTTTAGCATATACAATTGATATTTACGTAATTTTTTAACTCCGATAAATTTAAAACATTCCAAACTATGTGTGTTCATCCAGCTTTTTTTTTTGTGATACAATTTTCAATAAATATTAGTTAAAAAATCTAATAGATACACATCACATACCATATATATACAATATACATATTCTATCTACTAAAAAAATGACAATTGAATCAAAATATTATTTTTTATATTATTGATAAGATTTTTTGTACTCAATATTATAAAACACTTGGTCCAAAACCATAAAGTGAACCAACTAACATTATTTTTTCGTATAAATATATTACAAACACTTTACTCTAAAAGTATTTCTCAACGCATGCAAAATTTCACAAAAAAGTCACCAACGAACATAAAAATTAAGGATAACCTGTTTTTTGTGTTCCGTAACTGAACCCCTTATTATTTTAGTCCCGTAAATGAAGTCTGTTGCAAACTAGTCCCATAAGTAGAGAATTTTCATTGTTTTAGTCCTCCGGCGCCGGAGACGCCCGTGTGGTTCGCCGGAATCCACGTGTCCGTCAAGTGTCCCCCAGGTCAGCAACACTTGGCGGACATGTGGATTTTATTTTTTTAAAATTTTTTTAAATTTTTTTTTCAATTAGACCAAATAAAAAAATTAAAAAAGCAAAAAAAATTAAATATAAATTTTTTTAAAATTAAAAAAATAAAATAAAATCCACATGTCCGTCAGGTCACTTCTACATATAATAACCCTTAATGTTGTGTCGTGACATTAAATTAGTAATATTAAAAGGTTATTGTAGTAGTCTAATATATTTACAAAATTGGAATGAATGTTAGGAAAATCTATAATTGTTAGAACTTTGGGGTTGCTAAATTATAAATATTTTGTAAGAAGCAAAGTTATTAAAGTGTCATCTAACAAATAAAAGTTTATGAAGATGAACAATAATAGAACTTTGTACAATTTAAATGTTGTATAGTAATATTTAATTTATTATTAGGAGCAAGATCAAAGTGTCACTCGTAGAATATTCTCACACTAAACGAACACATAACAAACTCATGGTAATATGTGGTTGCACAACAACAGTAAAACGTTGAATACCGATAAAGTATAGTATTGCGAATTTTCTTGCAATCAAATATTTCTCACCAAGAGACTAGAAAATTAGCTGATAAATAAATAAATGAAATCAAAATAGTGATAATTGAAAGGAAATAGAAATTAATGCTATGAAAATTTGTAAAAAATATCAGGAGATTTAGTTAACTAAGATCAAAGTCCACTCTCCCGCCAAAAACTCCAAGTCTTTCTATGAGTCAACACTTATAAAAAGAGAAAATCGTTGGGTTCAACACGAAACAGCCCTAACCCAAAAACTTAACTCACAAAGGATTGAATGAACACATAGTGTTTGGGACAGAACAAGGAACAATATGGGCAAGCACCAAACAAATCAAAACTAATCTAATAAAGAAAAATGGGATTTTGGATCGAACTAGACCATCACAAAGATGTTTCACACACAGGCACACACACAAAAAAACTAATCCCCTATTTTATCTCTTTACTCACTTAGTCCACACCAAAATCCATAGCTCAAACCAACAAATATATAGGCAAGGAAGAAATTGATAATCCAAGAGCATAAGAAACAAACAAACTTTATCGATCGACCATGAAGATGTTGGGAACACACAAGGGAAGAGAGATAAAGCTAAATAACAAGACACGATAATTTAACGTAATTCGGTTTCACAATAGACCTACATCTACGATCCCAAAACGGGATAATCCACTAAAATATTTATTACAATTTTGAACGGAAAAAATTGTAAAACCCTCCTTACAACAACTCACCAAATCTCAATTTCACTCTCTCTAGTTACTAAAGAAAAATGTTTGTTGTCATGTCTTAAAATAGGACCCAATGGGCTCAATTTATAGAAGCCAATGCCCCCATCTTTTTATCACACTTCCTATGTGGGACATGGGAAGTTACACAATAAATCCTCACTCTTCCTATAGTCTCACATATTTCCACCATGTCAGAAAAACAAACTATCTTTTCGATTTTCTGATTCTTCATATCATTGTTGTTATCCACATTTACTCGCAAGGCGCATCCATTTAGATAATAGATGTTGTTTTGTTTCTTCCTCCCTTGCATAATCAAGTTATCACCCTTTTATACTTTGCATAGATTTTTAGTGCCAACATATCTATACCCATGTGAAGCCAACTCGCCCAATAAAATAACATTAGCTCCAACAGTAGGCACATACCTCACATTAAAAATTATTTTGACATTACCATTTTGGAGGTTCAAGCGAACTTTTCCAATACCTTCAATTCGCTGCTTCATCTTATTCCCCACATTGATATAGACAAAATTTTTCTTTGTAAGCAAAGTATCAAATAAAGTTTGATCTTTACATATATGGACATCGACAGCAGAATCCATCACCCAATTAAAATTCTCAACAGGATTTGTATTTAAAAGAAGTAAATCAACTTCATAACTAACCACGTTCGCGGAGTTCTCAACTTTCGACTTACCCTTCAAATTTCTCAGACTTCTCAAGTCTTCTTTAAAAAGTCAATAGTGATTTTGAATGTGACCAAGCTCTCCACAATAATGACACTCAATATAGCTGTAATCTCTCGGCTGAGATTTCGATCTTCTACCACGGTCACTCTTCATTTTCCTCTATCTTTCAGAACCCCCCACATCTAGTATTTGACTATCTTTGTCTTCATTTCTCATTATCTTGTCATTCTCCTTCAAAATCATTATCGTTTCATTCAATTTCAATGTAGTTTTCCCAACCAACATTGATTGCACCAACGGCTTGTAGGATTTGGGCAATGAAGCTAACAAGAGCAATGTTGCTCTTCCTATTTAATTTTCTCTCATGCATTCAACAGTCAACATACTAGCTCATTATACTTGTTAGTATGGTCAATTATATTACCTCATTCCTCTTATTCAAAGAGTATAGATCCATCTTCATAATCAGGGGATTAGTCAACGTCTTCCTGGAAAATTTACTCTCCAAAGTATCCAACAACCTCTTCGGCGATGTTTCCGTCAACACGGTAACTTTTATCTGTGGTGTGGGTGACAATCAAATCGTGCTAACAGCCTTTTTCCGAATCATACTCCAATCACCTTCTTTCATACCTTCTGGCTTTGCATCTTCCAAGGCAACATCAAGACATTGCTGCACAAAATAGTCTTAAATTGTGTTTTGCCACATAGTAAAATCACTCTTTCCATAAAAGAGTGAAACCTCATATTTCAAAGTAGTGTACATAGTGCTTAATAACTCTCCAATAAAAAAGCACTTCCAACAACCAAATAAATTGAGGCTAAAAATTAAAGCCAGGAACTTAAATCAGGCAGAACCGACCTTTCTGGCAGAAATCTTGTGTGTTACCGGAACTCGCTGCGGAACTGCAACCTAAATTGCTAGCGTGCCATCAACTTCTCTCGAAATACCTCTTGCTCCTTCTCTCCTCCCTTTGCTAAGACTTCGCTAAAAAATGATCATGCTTTGATACCACTTGTTGGAAACACACAAGGAAAGAGAGATAAAGCTAAATAACAAGACACGAGAATTTAACGTGATTCGATTTCACAACAGACCTACATCCACGATCCCAAAACGGGATAATCCAATAAAATATTTATTACAATTTTGCACGGAAAAAAATTGTAAAATCCTCTTTACAACAACTCACCAAATCTCAATTTCACTCTCTAGTTACTAAAAAAAAAGGTTTGTTGTCATGTCTTAAAATAGGACCCAAGGGGCTCAATTTATAGGAGCCAATGGCCCATCTTTTTATCACACTTCCTATATGGGACATGGAAAGTTACACAATAGAAGAAATAAAAATTGACATAGAGAATTTTGAAAGAGAATGAACGGAAAAATCCAATAAAGACATAATAAGTCAAGAATCAACAAAGGTGATATTTGATTTAGATCCAACCAGGTCGGGTAAGGTTCAGATCGGATCGGATCGAATCAGAAAATTATAAATAACCCAACATATAGAAGATCAAACACACCAAATTTGTGTGCCTATACTTTTGGGTTTGTAGTCTAGTGCAAAAATTGTAGTTATTTTTCTTAGAAAATTATTATTGGTATTTTACTTATTGATTTTTTTTATTCAAATAAATAAATGGTAATAGTTTTAAGTTTTATTATTTACTTATTTTCACATTGAACATGATTAGATTTCAATACGAAAGAGTATTGAATGTTAATTACAAGAATTTCTTAACATTATATATATATGTAAAGCAAAATCTATTACTAATCCATGCATGCTATAAATTGACAGGATTTCGATAGGACTCATGGGACTGGATGGCAATGTGTGGTTGGATCCAATTTTGGATGCTTCTTTACACATTCAGAAGGAACATACATTTACTTTGCAATGGAGGCTCTAAATATTCTTATTTTCAAAGCAGCACCTGCAGCAGCATGACTTCCAATGCATAAATAAAGACACAAGAAATCTTTCATTGTAATGAAACCCTAATAATTTACACAAGATCTTTTGCAACATCTCATAATGTATATTGAAGCCCGATCGTCTTTCAGTTATGGGATAAAGGTTTACAGATGTTAGCTGCTCTTTTTCGCTATATACGTTTCATATAATTCAAAGAATTCGACATATAGAACAATTTTCATCAATGTGTTGCATCTTATGAGGCATATATTAAACAAATATAAGTAGAATTGGAATATGTGTATTTGTTTTATAACCGATCAATTTTCGTGCTGCAGATTGGGTCAAATCAGCAATCAACACATTTAAGCCAAACAAACATTACATATTTTGCAACACAAAATAATATAATATATAGTACATATTCTGACAATATATGATAATACAATATACAATATAGTATACCATTGATTTCAACCGAATGAATATACTTATACAGTACAGTACGATATATAAACCGTGCAGATTTTATATCGAACAACATCTATATAGCAATACCGTATAGTGTTGTATAGAAGTATGCACGTTTGCTTTCCTGTTATATATTGATCGGGCCAAATCAATCTTATATGTATGATTATCATCTCATTTCATTGTACTTGGCAACATTTCCATCTGATAGTTTGAAATTATTATAGTTTTAGTCATGTTTTTAGATGTGATCATGTAAATTTTTAGGATTAGAAGTATATATAACTACAATTTATAAGATTAAATTCATCAATATACAAATATATGTACACATGACAAATTAATAATTAGGCATATGGAGAAGACAAAAAAAAAAAAAAAAAAAAAAAAAAACACACACACAACAACAATTACTTAACACCAATACTTAGGATAGAAAACTTGAAAATTTTTATTTAGACTCTTAGGGTGTGTTCTTGTATAAATACTTAACACCAATTTTTTTCTATAGAATGTATAAACTATATATATTGTATGAATATATGCATATATTGTATTTTTTATAATTTAATCGAAAAATATGTAGAAGAAATATGTTTGATGAACATACTCTAATTTTTTGTAAAAATATATATAATTTATTATATATTAAATTTTATTAATTTACAAGAAAATGAAGTTAACAAAATTAAATAAAATAACATATAATTTATTGTTAAAATACTTATTCATAGCACGGATTATTATAAGCAAATAAAATATAATTAAACAAATAGCATGTCAATGTAAATTCTAGAAAAAATAAGATAAATAAAAGTGGATGGTAGCATAAATAAGACCGATATATAATTACAGCATTAAGACTCACAAATAGCTTTGAATGAATAATTTAAAAAAATTAAACTACTTAGTATAATAAATAAAAAATAAATACTCATTTGATTTGATATTTTTAAAGAAAAAAAGAATTGAAAATAGTAAAACATGATAAAAAAACCAGGGAGATAACACATAAGGTGAGGATCCTCTACAACTGTGTATGTAGTACAATATGTATATATGTGATATATAATACTCTTTTTCGTCCCATTTAATTTGTCAATTCTTTCTATTTTTGTCTGTCTTACGTAATTTGTCCTTTCATTTTTTGAAAATATAATTATACACTTTAATCACATTTTAAAATTCATAATTTATTAATTTTTTATTTAAATTAAATTATTTATTAATCTTAATTTTAATTTATAATTATTTTTACTAATATATTTATTAATTACGTACTAATTACACAATATCTAAAACCTCGTGCCTAAACTAAAGGGAACAAATTATACAAAGAGAATATATTATATATACATACAAATAATATATATATATCAATTTTGGTGAGGGGCGTGAATAGAATGTAGTGAGTAGGGGGCTAAGGATCTCATCCACATATGGTGGGAATCCTCTATTTGTTATACCTACTCATTCCGTAAATTTATGTTTATTTAGCTGAGAACGAGTTTTAAAAAAAATATATAAAAATAAAAAAGAAATTTTATGGTAAAAAAAAAGTAAAAAATACGATATTTTTTACTAAAAAGATAAACATGAATGAATTTGGATGACAAAAAAAAAGTAAAAATAAATTTAGATAACAAATAAAATATTAAGTAAATAATCGCAAAATCAATTGGTTATAAAATAAAATATAATATAATATAAATAAAAATTGTTATTTATCTTTATAAATGATAAAATCTTTCTAATATTTTTTTCTATACGAGATTTTGAACACTTTTCTTCAAAATGATATTTATCTAAAAATCAAGATTTGTTATACACATTATTATTACTGTGTACACTAGGTGGATGCAGTTTATTACTGTCGACGTAGGTTGTATGTGTATTCATTGTGGCAACTTCATTACCACTCGTTGAATCTTAAATTCACTATAAATATAGGTATGAGTGAATGAAATAAGACGCATCAAATTCTATCTATTCCTCTCGTTGTGTCTCGCCGTGCTCCTTATCTCATTAAAAACGCTAAATATCTCAATCATCATCACATATCACATATTCATACATATCATATATACATACATATATATATATATCATATATATACTTATATCCCTATATTTAATACACACGCACCCACACAATTTACATATTGGTATATATATTATCTATTATATATATTATATACAAAATATAAAATAGTGATTAACAGTAAATATAATTAATATTTTTATTAGTTAATCCTATAATAATATTACAACAAGATTAATATTTTACCTAACACATACACTCATGATACTAACACAATATTAAAAACAAAAAAATAAAATATTAAATCAAATACCTATTTTTTAGTTTTTATATTATACTAAAAATCAATTTTACATTCAAAATATCACATTAACACCTATTTATATCACATTATACAACTATTCAAATTCAAAATTTTTACTATTCAAATCCCAACTTAAAATCCAAACCCCCAAACAAACACACCCTTATGTTTTGTTCTTTTGTCGTTTTACCATTGGTTTTTGTTATTTAATTTTGTTTTCCCCTCAAAGATATCACATTAGACAATTAATTTTTTTTTTTTATATTAAACTCCCTCCGTCCCAATGCAAGATTGTCGTTTACTCATAGATTTTTGAATATTAGTATTATAATGTATTGTAGTAATAAAGACAAAAATATCCCTATTAGTATTGTGTAATATAAAAGTAATGAAATTTGTGTAATATAGTATAAGTTGGAAGGGTATTTATTATGTTAGGTAGGTAGTACAATTACTAAATTAGAAAATTGTAACCTTTTTTGGGACGGACGAAAATGAAATGACAACCTTTCAATGGGACGGGGGGAGTATTATAAATTTATTTTACATTCAAAACGTCACGTCAATTTCTATTTATATCACGTCAAACAACTGTTCAAATTCAACTTTTTATTATTCAAGCATCCAAACCCAAAAACTATAACCCCCAAACAAACACAATAAACTTTGAAACGATGGAACAACAATTTTAGTATAATATATGTCAATATTATTATTATTATTATTATTATTGGATAAGTACTAATATATGTCAATATTTTCTTTTACATTACATCAATATCCCTAGTTATTATCATACTATTCTGAAACTTTAGAAAAAAAATAATAATAAGAAGAAAAAGAAAGTAAACTTAGAAATTGTGTTTATGTAAAAAGGGAAATAATTAAATTTTTTTGGCATACAAATTCACAAAATGAAAAAGGACTTATAAAAATTTGAGTATTTAAAAAATATATTAAAATGTATATGTATGTATATATATACATATAATTTTATATATATATACTTGGTTTTATATTTCAACTTTCCAATATATATATATATATACTCCCTCCGTCCCATAACAAAGTGTCCATTTTTTCATTTTAGTCCGTCACATAACAAAGTATTCATTTCTTTTTTTTAGTAACTGTATTATCTACCTAACGTTACAAATACCTTTACAACTTATAATATATTACACAAATGTCATTACCTTTATATCACATATACTAATAAGATTATTTTAGTAATTTCTACTTTATTCCTACTATATCTCAATATAATAATAATATTTTTAAAATTACGTGCAGAAAGCAAATTGATACTTATTTTTGGGATGGGGAGAGTATATCAAATCAAATATTTATAATTTATTTATTATATTATACTAAAATTTAATTTTACATTCAAAACATCACATCAATATATATTTATACGAATAAGACTATTATTTTAATTCAAAATTTTACTATTCCAAAACAAAACCTAAAAATAAAATCTTACGGTGTAAAAAATAATAAACTTATGTATTTTTTTATTATTAATTTGTCTCCCTAATTTTTATTTTATAGTGTAGAAAATAATAAAAGAAATTTCTCATATTGTTAGATTTACACTTTTATCCTTTAAATTTTATTTTATTTTATTTAGTAAAAAACATTAAATTTTATGTAATTTTGTTACATTTTTCTTTAATTCTTCTTCTTCTTTTACCTGATTGTCCCCAAAAAATCGAAAAAGACAATATTGAATTAATAAAAAGAAACTGATATTTTATCTCTGTAAAATTTTACTGCTGGTTTCGTCACTGTAAAGATATATATAATCAATATATATATATATATATATATATATGCATATGTTGAAAATGCAAGTTAGTAATATTGAAGGGGGGCCATGTGGATTGTGGAAGAAGAGCTTAATTAATATTGAAGGGGGGCCATGTGTACTGCCTGTTTGGTAACAGACATATTACATAAAGAATGACTTTTCGTCTTGTACTACAGCATTATTTATTAATAGTAGGTGTTTATAAAAAATATTAAATTAAATAATTATTTTTATTTTAAATATTAAAAAAATAATTATTTTTTTTATTTAAAATATAAATTAAATACATATTCATATCACATTCATCATTATTTCAATTTAAAGTCTTTCAAATCTAATTAAGATGTAAATCTTAAAGAAACACACCTTGTTAATCCTCAAATTATCTAATAATAATAATAAGAATAGTAATAATAATAATCTCTTTGTCTACGAAATACTCCCTCCGTCCCAGATACCATATCCACGTTGTCGTTTCTGTCCGTCCCACATACCATGTCACTTTCCTTTTTTGGAATATAATTACACACTTTAATCTCATTTTAAATTTTTTAATTTTAATTAAACGAATTATTTATCTTAATCTTAATTTATAATTATTTATATTATAGGATAAT